TCCAGAAATACCACCTGCAGCCCAGCCACAGAACTACAAGTGAACATAAATCCTCCAACAAAATGGAAGTCCTGAACGTCATAAAGCTACTGAAATGCGGGAAAGCAGCGGGACCAGATGGATTCCCACCAGAAGCACTGAAAACAGACGCAAAGACAACAGCGGACATGCTCACACCACACCTCTATCGCAGAAGATGTGGAAGAAAGAGAAGGTACCTGTCTATTGATTGGAAGAAGGGTTACCTTGTCAAACTGTCGAAGAAGGGAGACCTGAGTGTTTGCAAGAACTGGCGCGGAATCAAGCTCCGGTCCACCCCAAGCCAGCAAAATATTATCCCACATCATCCTGGAGAGACTAAAGGATGCACTAGATTCAAAACTACGACCGGAACAGGCTGGTTGGATTCTGGAAGTACAAATCATGTGCGGACCAAATTGCAACGCTTTGCATCATCATGGAACAGAGTATAGAATGGCAATCAGCTCTCTACCTCAACTTCATCGACTTTGAGAAGGCCTTTAACAGTGTCGACCGAGAGGTAATTTGGAAACTGCTTCAATACTACGGAATACCACAAACCTTTATCCGCCTCATTCAACAAGTATGTGAAGATGCCACATGCCAAGTAATTCACAATGGGAAGCTCAGTGATACCAGTGAAGTGAAGTGAAGACAGGAGTGAAACAAGGTTGTCTACTATCACCCATGGTATTCCTTATTGTAGTCGACTGGACTGGATCATGCAGCAAACAGTGGGGAGTGAGAAGAGAGGGATACGCTGGCTGGACTGTGGAAAAGAACCTAGAAGATCTGGATTTCGCCAACCATGACTTGTGTCTGATGTCACACAAACTTGAAGATCTACAGGCGACAACTAACAAGCTGACAGAAGAGGCAGGGCAGCGAAGACGGGACTTCAGGTGAATATGGAGAAGACAGATGTGATGAAGATACCGCACCAACAACTCCAACAACAACAACAAACTCCAGTCACCATGAACGGGAGAAACTTAAAAGAAGTAACCTCCTTCACTTATCTAGGAAGCACTGTTTCAACTACAGGCGGGACGGACAAGGATGTCAAAGTCAGAATCGGAAAAGCAAGACAGGCGTTCATTAGCCTGAAACCGGTGTGGAGATCTTCTGCACTCAGCATGCGGAACAAGATACGGATTTTCAACACCAACCCAGTCAAGTCAGTGCTTCTGTATGGCTCAGAGACTTGGCGCGTCACGAAAGGGATTCCCAATAAACTACAGACATTCATCAACAACTGCCTACGCTGGCTCGCTACTGAAGATCAGATGGCCGGGATAACAAGAATAAGCAACAAGGAGCTCTGGGAACGAACCAACCAAGAACCTATCACGCAACAAATATGCACTGGAAGGAAGTGGAGATGGATTGGGCATACACTGAGAAGACCGACTGGGGACGTCACGCATTAGGCCAGTTGCTCGAATGGAATCCCCATGGGAAGCGACGAGTTGGGTGTCCGTGGTGAGGGTGACATGGAGGAGATGGTGTGAGGAGGAAATGAGAGCTTGTGGGCTGTCGTGGAACCAGGTTCAAAAGATCTCAGAGAACAGAATTCACTGGGGGCGTGCTACTGAAGCCCTATGTTCCAAAAGGAACCCAAGGGACTAATAATAAAATAATAATAATAAACTAGGATGAAACAGCTGTACACCGCTTCTAGGTCTCCAATAGTTCTCCAACTGATGTTAATACGTGATGAATGCCACCTTGAAATATTTTAATCAGTTACGCGTTTTGGTCCTCAAGATAATAAATTACCACTTTGTACTGGTTTCAAGTATATTTTTAAGTGCATTTCTTCCTGTAATAATGGTTGCGTACGCCATAAAAGAGCTATTTCCTCTTTGTGGTCCCAATTTAGTGAACAATTATACAGTCCAGGCAATCAACTGCAATAACTTCGATCAGCAAGGCATTGAACAAAGTACTTGGCCTCTTCTTCTTCGCTCACATAAACATCAGTTGGCCGTTAAATATAACCACATTTCGTCACATATGTCAATACACATGGATAACTCTGAACATTAATTCAACTTTGTAAATTTAGGGATGTGGGACAGATAGAAATACAAAGAATATGAATTCTTTGATCTTAGTCAATAAAATGTTTCGCATTGAATGATGATGGTTGTCTGCCACCTGCGTTTATCGATGTTTGTGAATCAAGCTACTTTTGTAGCCATTTTGGTACATGTCCTCCCACCCTCAAGTACATATTTCGAATAGTCCTCCCTGTGTGTGTCCACACATACGTGTGACGCAATCATTTAAACATTGTTACGTTCTGCATTGCAGCGTGTTTGGTCTTCTCAACTACGATAAGCTAAGCTATACAATATGTTTTTTTAATGGCAGACCTTAGCCTTCGTTTTAAAATTACGCTGTTAGATTCCCCTCTGTACGGCAATATGATATGAAGGCATTTCTTCAGAACAGAGTTTCATCGCTGGCTGATTTTTACAACGGTTTATGAATTTCAATGGACACCCATTTTCCACTAATGTTTCAGTTAGTATTTTGATGTCATCATCTCTTGAGTCCTCCGTAGAGCTGCGTTGGGTCCTTTTGAATAGGTGAATTACCAAACCTCGCTTGTATCGAGTTGGACATAACTGTACTCTGTCAGTCATTAGGGAATGGATTGGTTGAGCGCTTTAAACACTTCACCTGCCTGAGAAGTCAGATTATCCCTAGTGGGTCGGTAACTGATGAAATCTCTACGTGCATGCAAAGGCTTGATTGGTTTTGACTGGAATTGTAGGTTTCCTGGTTGGGGTCAATGTAACAACAGAAACTAGTAGTTGGAGACTCTTGGCGATATGGCTCACAATGGATCTCATTGGTGCAAATGTCCTTATCGAAATCGTGGGACTGAATTTCAATGTTGTCTCACTCCTTGATCCCTTCTGTTAACTTTCTATCACTGTTGTGTTCTTTATTTCCTTATCTTTCATCTAATTGCATTCCTGGCTGTCGTGCTAGTTTGAGGTGTATCGACTTGGACAGCTTTTCAGTAATGCCTAGTCTTATGTTGAAATTATCTGTCTGTGGCGGGAGTCCATTGCTCAGTTGTCGTTATTCTTGAAGACGTCATGAACAGAGAATGAAACCGAACAGAAAATACGGCAAATTGTCCTTCTGAGAAGGCGAAAGGGAAACTATAGTCATTTAAACAATAAGGGAGAGAGAGAAAGCTGTTAGTGTACTGAAGAATAAAATGAATGATAACGAGTCTGTCATCATTAAAAGAAATGAAACAAAAAATATTTACTGATTAATCAAGGGTATTATTTCATGGGGTCGAATTTACATTTGACGGCGAAGCAAACAAACATTTATCCAAAAAATTGAAACCTATTACCTACAACACCAACCTGGATACAACTAAACATGAAAAAGTTGCTTCCAGCTCAGCCACTCAGGGTGAATGAAAAGAAAGGTGAAACACATTCATTGAGGGATAACTTGTACAGCCAGCTGAATATGTGGGAAGCTTGGAAAGAGAGAGTATCTAGAATATCAAGGAATCAAGGAATTCCAGTCAGTCAGAACCGTGAGGAGTAACAAGGTCACAGTTCCAGTTAGTATGATTTCCAACTGAAACATGTTTACAGGCAATGACACCATTATCGCAGAAACAACCAGTTACACTTGGCCATCAGGGAAAGCTACTAAGTGACCTAGGGAGATATTCCCATTACCCACTTCTTCTTGAAGTTCGTCTTGATGATGTTGTTTACTCTGACGATGAAAGCTTAACAATCTAACCATCCAGTCCACAGAACACAACGCCACCAAAAATTATTTAAAATGTGTAAAATAACTAAGCGGATAGCGTTTTACTTACTATTCTTCGCCTTCTACTGAGTGGTAAACCTTTTGTTCACAGTATTGTCTTCTTCCGTGAATCTGAGTAATGTGCAAAGAGTTTTCAAGAGATTCGTAATTCACTGTTGTGAGATGAGATATTTGTGCTGAACAGTAGCGTTCACATCTTACCAATGAACTCATCGGTTGTGAAGTAAGCCTCAGTCACTGCATATATATATATATATATATATATATATATATATATATATATATATATATATAACCTGCATGGGTAAGCTTTGTTTGACGTAGTAGCGGCGAAACCTAAGTAATATACTGTCTAACAAATTCATTTTAAGTGTTTTCTGCAAGTAGATTAGACGAAACACAATGATGCTTTGTTAGTTGGATGGAGACAGTTGGTAGCAAGCTCCGTTGACTAACAGTTAACACCTATCTTAGTGTATCCTGAGGGTGGGTCTCCTAGTTTGCTGACGACACTGTGAAGATGTTCGATAGGATTCTATCAGCACTTAAGACTAAATAACATGAAGTTGGTTACTCTCCAGTGAACAATTCATTTATGTTGACGTTTTTCAACATTTTTCGTTACTTTTTCGTAAATTTATGCTTTAGCTGACCATAAAATTTTGTTTTTAACATACTAAAAGGTTTACTTTTCAGTGGAGTTGATTCGATAACTTTCGTTTCCGAAGAATTCTATTCAAGTTGAGTAATTATATCATTCAACCCACTTGATTCAATCGATCAATGCAACTCTCATCTGATATAATTTATTAGTCTTACTAAGGGTTGAGAAGTTTACTTCTCACAACAGACATACTTATTTTCATATTTATCACATTTGTCATCCGATTAATATACAGGCAATCTAGTTATTTTTTCATTTGGAAACAAGTCGAAACTTGATATAATTCAATGATGAAGAAAGATCAAAAGCGAGAGTTGTTCTATTTCATGGATGATCACTAGATGATGGATGCTAAGGGGACATACAAATAAAAGTTAATCGATTGGTGGTAGGTAATACGGATATATATATATATATATATATATATATATATATATATATATATATATATATATATATATATATATATATATATATATATAAGTAAACGAACGATAAAAGTTTGTTTTCGTTTAACAAAGAAAAGAATAGTAAGTTTAATTTTTGCTCAAAAAAAGACGAATAAATACCCTCATTTTGTGTTTCTTTCCTTCAGATTATTTTTAAATGGATAATATATTGGCAATGACAATTGTATTCAGTTTCTTGTTGTATTGCACAAAAGCACAAAATGAACAATATAATAAAGGTTGTAATGCTTATGTACAGAATGTAATGAGTTATTGTGTTAATGTAATCTTGGATACAAGTAAGTGATTTAGTAAAAATAAAAACTTATCTTTTGTCACATTTCAGTTTATTATACTCCCTGAAAGATGAATGTTGGATTTAAACATTCAGATATTTATTTATGATAAATATGATGGTCTATTATCCTGCTTAACGTAAAAAGAATAGTTGGAATATGTGCCAAGATGATATGGTTGTTGATAAAAATGAGCTTTTAAAATAATTACAAATACATCAATAAAGCTTTTCCATGTATTGGTTATTTGTTTTAAATGTATACCCATAGTGTACATAAAGCTAGCATGTAATTTTCAATAGTTGTAAAGTTGTGATTACTCAAGCATGTGGAAATGTTTTGAAAAGTATTACACATAAAAGTGAGTATCTAGAAACCGCTTATTTCGATATATAGATTCTGTTTACCAGATGAAAGACTATCATTCACTTTGTTCTTCTTTGGGTTAGTCAGTCGACTGTTAGTTTATAGAAACTAAACATTGATTTTACTTAAACCTGATTAAAAGAGTTGGATGGACCGGTATTTTTGAAACTGAACTTTACATTGGCATTTTTACTAGTATTTTTTTAAAACAGTTAGCTTAGGTGTCAGATGGCTAAGACTGTTGAAATTCACTTTGTTAAGATTGAAGATTTATGTCTGACAAAGAAGTGTGATTAAATAATGAAGTGTAATATTCAATATACACTTCCTTCTGAAAATTCTGCTGAATATTCGCGAAATACTTTACTTTTCTCAGTATGTTTTACATCCGAATATTTTTTTACCACTTATTTACAATACAAACAGAGTGTAAATATATTTTATGAAGTTGAACGTAATTGATGGAAAGCTCTAGACCTAGGCTTTGTGCTGATTGACACCTGCTAGTGAGGTGGATCCAAAATTTTGATGGGACTGATACCATTTTTGAAGTGTGAACCAGCACTACTCACTGCCATAGTCCGAAACTTTACCACCGTTATAAACATGCTATGACTGACCTTTTGTATGGCTGAATTAGATTCATTCATTGGTCATTAGAGAGTATTCAATTCATAGTTGTCTAGTCTCAACTACCGGTTGAATTCTATTCATGTAGTTGAAAGTGCTATTCTAAACATTTTGTAATAAAGTGGAAACTGTTTTAGTTAACTTTAAACTATAAAGCTTTTATCACGTGAGAGAACATCTTTTCTAATCCAAGTTTACTGTGTGTAATTCAGTGATATGAAAATATCAGATTGTTTCAACGGTGCAATTACGGGTGGGTTTCCATTTAATGTAAATGTTGCAAAACACCCACTTAGGACAGTGAACTTTAAGTTAGATTTGGTGATAAGAGACCTTTTCCATATGTTAAAGACTTAGTGTAAAGTTACTAGGAAAAGAGTTAGTTACATCACAAGGTTATGATTTCTACTGAAGATTTCATGTTCCTGAAGTGAAAATATTGCTGATCTGCTGTTAAATTCCATGGGGAAATAAGTGATTTGATAATTTATTAAGACTTGTATGATGAACTGCTCAAAACCTTGACCAACAATCCAGTGTTTTTGTAGTCAGAAGCACATCACAGATATACGCAGAATCTTCACGTATGACAGCACTTAATCTTTTGAATAATTTTATAGCGGGCAATATGGATATTTGGTAATTATTCTTCAGTATTATTGACAAGTATCACTCTTCATAGACATCCTTGTTTATCACTAAAGTCAAGGTTTTACACCTGAACTTATAGAAGTCAATTTTAACGAAAGTTACTGGCCACTACTTATACATTCCTTGATGAAGTATTTTAAAGAGATGAATTACTACGAATCACTAAACATCAAGTAGAAGTGGGTCCAAAATGATGATGAATACCTTCCCTTAAAATTAGAGAAAGTTTAGGACATATCACAACCTACTTAGTATTAAAATGTTCGCGCTTTGTGGTAAATTTATTTTATAATAATTACACATTCTTGTGTAACATTAGAAATGGTAAAACAGTTTTGAAAAATGAAAGTATGAACAAGATGCAAGTACAAAGACTTAAATATTTTTGTTTACAGGAGGTGCAAAGTTCCCATTGCAGTCACTGATGAAATACTGTCGTCAATATCCAGAATGTGACAAAGAACTCAACAAATGTATACTGATGTATTTAACCCGGGGTCCAGGTGAAAAATGTGTCTTTGCTCAAAATCTCGCCCGAACACTAGATAGAAAACTAAAATCATAACATCGAAATAAACTTATTTAAACAAAACTCTTCTTTTTGCGTAATGCATAATTACTTGTATTTAAATGTATAGAAAAATAACTGTTTTATTTCAAGCATTCTTTTGTTTTATTTATTATACCAGAAATTTTGAGATGGGTAAGGTACGTAGGAACAGTTCTTCTGAATGCAGATGTCAAAGAATACTTAATTATCTGAAATATTAATTTTATGAAGACAAAACTTTATCACGTTTCTTGTCTATGAGCATGCAGTTAGCATTCCAGTTCAGGACATATCTATGCTGTAAAATATCCATTTGCTTATTTGACTAATTATAGGATTTCCAACAAACCATAGGCCACTAAGATTTGTGTCGAAAAGTATCGAACAACGGTTATCGAGAAAATAACTGATACGAAACCCAGTCTTTCTATTGTATTGAGAAGAAAACCTTAGATTCAGAAGGTGAGAATGTTAACTATTTGCTTATATTTTTCAATTACGTGAACAGCTTGCATGCAGTTTACAAGTAGCACTGTTCTCTATTGAGTAATTTTCAGTGACCGAAAAGAGGTGTCAACGGGTTTCGCTATAAATCAGTCAGTCTGTGATATATTGATGAAGTATACTCTTACATTGATTTTTCACTAGAGATTAACCAGTTTTATGTCATCAGTTCTCAAGTGCTGACCAAATTCCATAGATCATTTTGTAATTTGACCACCAAGGTAGGGGGGTCAGCATCATGGTGAACTTTGATTCCTTTTAGATGATTGGAAGAAGTTGGGAGAAAGCCCTGGAACTTGAAGTCTTGCTAGTTGGTACTAGTCAGCAAGGTGCATCCGCAACCTTAAGGTTATTGATTGCTTCTGAGAGATTCCAACTCACATTGCCCAATCTTTCAGTCAGAAACTCTACCACTAAGCTTTTTGAGTCACTACTGAACTTTCCAAGCTAAATTTATTAATGAGGACGTTTGACAAAGTCCACTTAAACGACAGAAATGACCATCATGTACTACTACTTTACACATATGAAATGAAATCAAAGTTGCAGTGGTATGAATTCAATACTACAGACTCATAACACCAATTGCAATCTAATAATTTTAGTTGAATGAAAATAAAATAAGTTGTGACATGAATCAAAACAAATGCCTCCAGGTAACTTGATAGTTGACATTGTAAGGTGGCCCTATAAAAAAACGTTGTTGAACATTACCCGGTTTGGCTTACCGAAGGCAAGCGAAGAAAATCAACTTCATCCATATGTGAATACCTAGAAGAGGTGGGTATTTCGGTTCCTCGGGGTTCATCCTTTGGAGTAATTTACAAGGCTGAACTGAACTACTCCTAAGGTCTACGTTTCCCCGACTTATGCATAGCTGAAGCATTAGCCATATATGAACAAAAGCCGAAACTTTGCGTTCAAAATGGTTTTGTGAAACCACTTTCTCTATCTTGGCCTTAAAAATTCATTTTAGTTAGTTTGTCAACTTTATTTCGTTTCATTGTGTGTACTTCACTTTTATTATCATCATTTTCGCCATTTTCTACTTCATTGACAGCACTTTATCCAGATTTTAGTATTTGAAATCAATTCGTTTCGTATTCAATGACCCATTTTTGCATGCTTCAGTTAAATTACCATCATTTTACCCTTCCTTGACACCAATTGATCCTTATTTCATGAGTTATTATCATTTGGTCTTTAATTCACTGACCAATTTTCGATTATTTTTTACATGAACAAATCCTATCACCAACACAAATTGTATATTGTGTAAATTGACTGAGAAACTTTTTAGTGCATTTATCTGATATTTTACCGATTGAAAATGAAACTGTACAGCTTGATAATGAAGTCGTTGAAAAGAAGTATTACTTTTCTGAAATATGTCTTGTTTTTATTCATGAATAAATGGGTATACTTCGTCATCTAGGTGGTTGCCATGTTAACTTGGCATAGGGATAGAGTTATTGACTAAGTCTGGTCTTACCTTCAGTTACTTATCCGAGTCTAAAAGTGACTCAAATTTTCCGTAAAATGTTTTCATCATCTAACCATACTAATATCCATGTGTCCAACTAAGACTATCTCAAGTTTCTCAGAAACAACCACAGGGCAAAACATTTTATTGAGTGACTAACCATTCTTTTACTGTAGTGTGCTCAATTCCTATGCCCACTAAGCGATTTTGATGTTTGATACGGTTTATATAAAACATTTAAAGTTAACCTACTGCCTAAGTTTTATCCATTAGATGTCAGGTAGGAAGAAATACTATCATAAGGCCATTATTTTTCAATCTGTTAACCTAAAATGATTTGTAAATGATGGAAAACAATTGCAGCTCAAGATTAGAATTATTGTTGTTCGCTGAAATACCAACTAAACATTCCTGTAACATTGAATATGCTGCACTTCTTTACAAAGTTAGTGCTCAGGATGCTGCTGAGCCTGGTGATGAAACGTTCACGACAAAATATTAAAGCTGAGAGAACACCAAACAATCATAATCGGTTAAAATCAAATGTATAAGACGAATGTACGCCATAAAATAACAGTTACTGCCTTACATCTTACGTAGGTTTATAGCAATAAAAGAACTTGAGCGAAACCCCGATCTATCACGTGTAAAAAGTGGATATGAAACCCATTATCAAGTCAAGTTTAGTTATATTGAGTTTAACTTTTTTATCCCACAAGAAGCTTATATAATCAATTTTACGCCAACGATTACTAGAGATAAAACCACATCTGTAACATGGAAAATCAAGATATTCTTCAAACTTATTAGATGAAACATCTCAAAGAAAACTCAATCAGTATCTCCCAAAAATGTTGAGAAGTTGTGACTACGTGTCAAAGATTCGAAAGAAGTTAACAAACGAAAGTCTGATTTAATTACAAACTGCCTACAGATTTTAGATTGACGATGTTGAGTAAAGGATGCAATAACTACATACTTTAAGTCTCGTTAAGAAGGAAAACTACCAAATTTCAGGTATTAGTTCTTCACTAAGTGATTTCAAACTGCAAATAAACAGCGAAACGGTGATAACTCCATCCGCTAAAATTATTCAATATATTTAATTTGTGTATGATCAAGTCATTGAAATTTTTATCACAGGATACAGAGCCGAATATCTTCAGATTGCAAAAGAAATATTTGAATCAAGATTCCCATTAAGTCGCTCGATAGTCATAGCTTTTATTGAAGGTTAGATTCACGAACTACCAATTTAAAGTGGTGATCTTTGACGAACCCAGGTCAGAAAATGCACAGTTGTTGAGCAACGCTGAAGCAAACTAGTTGTAAGTTCAGTTAGGATTCTGATGGTGGCATGTTATACTGCTACTTTTTTTTCAATAAACTTTTATCATAAATAGATAGAAGTGGTCAGTCAGTCTCAGTGACTTGAACGGTAGAAGAACACATGAGTTTTATTGTGACTGCAAGCGTTTTTTGGTCTGCTACGTTATCTGACGTAGTCATTTCTTTTAAAAGGCTCAAATCCGTCTAAACATTGAAAATGTTTTTCATGAACATAATGATGTTACTTATGTCTTATTCACGAGTGTATTTCCACTCTACTGCATTTACGCGCCAATGAATCACTCACTTAAAAGAAAAAAAGATGAGTAAGACAAGCTTTTATGTATGACACATTTGAGATATCATGTGTTTATAAGTATGACTTCGAAGACAACTCAAAACAAGCTACTGGTATTTAGCCAGGTTATTCAGGAGTGAAAAAAGAATGATACATCTCGTATCTAAACAAGTGTTACTTCTAAAAAGTGAAACAAACAACGATAATTATTGATCAGACACAGAACAATGAATAAAAACTTAAGATACGATGAGTTAGGTCTCAAAATGCCATAAAAAAGCTGTCTCAGAGAACCCTCTTTTATGCTTGAGAGATAATGCAATTGAATACAGTCATTTGATTGTCATGACGTCTATAGTTGATGTTTTTTCCTTCAAGAACAAGTAGCAGTTCGACATACAAAACTTTCAACATAACATGGCCATTTGGTTACTGATGTCCAGTCTAATTCCACTTATCAGTTCACGGCTATTTAGGTATAGCCATGATTACGACTTCTACAAACCTTGGAATCTGTAACAATTTCACAGAAGAAAATTTGTTGGCTTAAACTAGAGTATCATGATTATTAGAGTTAAATTGAAATTACATCGTAGGTTATTTATTAAATGTATCATATAGTGAAACGGTTTTACTGAATAACTTCCATAGTCATATTAAAGTGACATGAAAATAGATAATAAGTTGTGTCCCAAGCATCATTCAGTCAACAATACTATTTCACTGTGTGATAAGTCTGATAAAGAAAAGAAAATGAAATTAAAATACAATCCAATGCTGATGTTATTCTTTTTGCATAAAATGGAAAATACTGTGTTGGTGCGAAATGCCTGATAATGCCAGTCGAAAAATTCAACTTAATTCTGTATTTGTCTAAAAATGCATTATTAGGTACATTTGATCTGGTGCAAGTAACAATAGGAGAAAAAAAAGATATTTGTCAAACCCCACAGAAGTAAGAAAAAGAGTTTCCTGACGTTTCATGACTTCGTAGAAATCGCTTCTTCAGAGAATAAAACCTCTACAAGATGTCAAATGTTTAAATGGTAAATGGTGAGGAATCAGATTACATTGTCTTTACACATGATAATAATGCTATCTGATTCGTCATCATTCACCATTTAAGCACTGGACAATTTGTACAAGAAGAACGGATTTCCACGAAGTCGAGAAACGTCGGAAAATTATTGTTTTTACTTCCTTGAAATTTTACAAATGTATTTCATTTGTGATCTACTTACCCAATGCTTAACTTATTCAATTCTATCTATCACGTCAAATTTCGATTTTGAAGTTTATAAAATAGGAGAAATGTGCATTTTATAAATCTGACATCTATATCACTGGACCGAAACTTCCATATTATAGCGGTACTCAGTTTTATCAACAAACAGGTTATCATTAGATATTTATCCATTTCATAGAAAGTGGAACGTGTGATGTAACTATTATGTGACTTATATTTGGAAACTGTTTGTAGTTTTGATTAAAAGGTTTTG